ATTAATATTGTTAAGATATTCATAATCCCCAAAGCAATCTATGGATTCAGTGCAATCCCCATCCAAATATCAATGGCATTTTTTCACAGAACTACAACAAAGAATTCTAAAATTTCTATAGAACCACAAAGGACCCTGACTAGGCAAAGCAGTCTTGAAAAAGAACAAAGTTGGAGGTATTCCACCCTCTGTGATTTCAAACTATACTACAAAGCTATAGTAATCAAAACAATATGGTACTGGATGAAAGTGGATGCATAGATCAATGGTACAGAATAGACAGCCAGAAATAAACCCTTACCTTTGGGGCAGTTAACCTTAGTGTCCTTTTAATGTTGATCCCATCTGTAGTGCTGTCTCCTTTGTTCCTGAAGTTGGTCATTTGTGTCTTTTTTGTTCTCAGTTTAGCTAGTAGTTTAGTAATTTTGTTGTTTTTATTTCCAAAGATGCACCTTTATGTTTATTGATTTTTCTCTATTTTCTACTTTATTGATTTCTTGTACCTTAATTATTTTCTTTCTGTGTCTTATTTTGGTTTTGACTTGCTCCTCTTTTTTAGCTTCTTGATGTGGAATTTTAGATTATTGTGTTGAATTCTTTCTCACACAGACATTTAAATCTATAATTTTTAAAGCACTGCTTTAGCTGCTTCCCATATATTTAGGCATATTGATTTCCATTGAGTTCAAGACATTTTTTCTCCCCTGCCTACCTCCACTCCAGTTTTCTTTTCTTGAAAGTATTGAGTAATTGTCCTGGAATTAATCTCCATAGGGCCTAAAAATATTTCTTTCAATCATGTGTTTAGTTTATGCCTAATAATTTTAATAGGTCCAGTTCTTTTTCTGATCATTTATATATTATTCTTTTGAGATAATAGCATGTGTGTTAGTTTTAGTTTTTCCACATGTGCAACTGTAGCTAATAATTTATTGATCTAAATAATGAACTACAATCAACCTTTTTCCTGTTTTTGCCAGTGTAACACCAAATTTCAACTGAAAACCTTGAGATGAATTAAAGTGCACATTTTAATAGTATTTCAAATATACTATGGGATATATGTATGTGCATATTTTTATTCAAGGCAAATAAGTAAGACTCAAAATGTTCTTAAATCCTCACCTAGGGCCAGCAAATAGGTAGTGCTCTCCTCACAGGTCCTGAGAGACTTTCTTAACTCATCATACCACTGCTGTTGGCAGGGCAGATGCAAAGTTGGAATTTTTCTCATTAATTCCATTTCCAAGTAATTTAATAAACCCATTTTGCCAGTAAATAGCTTGTATAAGTCAGAAAGAATAACGGGTCAAAATGTCTGTTTTTAATCTAATCAAACATGTCTACATTCATCTTTCAGAATTATTCTCTAATACTGCTATAAAAATATAAGTATAGAAAGTCTTTTAAAAGCACATAACGGCTAGTAATTATATTCATTAGACTCACAGCTTTAATAAATTCATGGAAATGATTATTTTTTAATTTTAGTGTTTTGAAAATGCATACCTTCTCAAAACAGCATCATAACAAGCATATTAAATATTTGGAATATTATTCTATTTTATACCCCATATAATTTCTTCATAACCACTTAAATCATAATGTAATTTGGAATTTGGTCCACTTCAAAGTTATTTGATTTTCTCACATACTAAAGAGAAGTATTTACTAAACAAATTAACACTGTAGCAGTAGCTCATGTGGCTCAGGGGACTGAGTGCCAGCCCGCAACCCACAGGGTCACTGGTTTGATTCCCAGTCAGGGCACATGTCTGGGTTGCGGGCCAGGTCCCCAGTAGAGGGCATGGGAGTAGCAACCACACATTGATGTTTCTCTCCCTAACCGCCTCCCTCTCTTCCCCCCTCTCTAGAAATAAATAAATAAATAATTAACACTGTAAATATGAGGAAGTTTGTTGTTGTTGGTTCACTGAAGGAGCTGAATTATTTTTAAGAACATAAGTAGCATCATTTGCATATATAAAGTAAATGTATAGATGAGCCTCATCTAACCTTAAAGTGCAGTCTCTACTTTGAAAACATGTTATAGGCAATCAGTTTATATTCTTAAGTACTTTGAAACCAATTAAACTGCTTTTACTTTTAAATTCTGACTAACATAGAGCTTTCACTGATTCATAGTAGCCTACTCCCTCCCCTGTTATCAGTCAACTTTTTGTGTAGATTATCAAATATAACCATGCATTGAACATTTCCTTCCTTAACATTTATTATGACTAGTGTAAAGATTTGTCTTTTCCTTTTTACTGTGGACCTTAAAGCCAAAGTAAGCAGGTGTTGCATAATACTGAGCTCAACTGTCCTGGATCAAGAAGGATTGGGGGTGGGAAGAAATCGGTAAGGTACTTTCCTTTGGGAATACCCCATAATCTAGTGCCAAGTTCATTCTAATTCACAGCCTACAACAATAATCAATTGTCTTTGTTTCTGCAGTATTTCACTGGCAGTTTCTAAGATTTTTTTTTTTTAATTTCCTAGGAGAAATAGACTCTTCTCTGTCATTTCTGCTGTGATCCATGACTTTTATTTTCTGTTGTGTATTTCTTCTGTTTAGTAGTTGTAAGTCAAGTGTAAAAATTGACTAATTGAAGTTATTGATATAACTTTCTATTTCACATGCTTTAGTAAGTATAAAAAATGGTCTTATTTTCTATAGCTTACCGTAAAAGCATAGTTTTTTATGATTTTCAAATATAATTTTGACAATCACCCTTAAAGATGAAAAAATATTTTATATCAATAAAAATTAAAATTGTTTTTCAAATATACTGTTTTATTTTTCTCTATGTATGTGGCCTTTTTTTTTTCAATTTATCATCACAGAAAAGTTCCTGTCTTTGTAATTTATCTCACTGATTAAAGTTCAGTCAAATTAATAGCTAGATGAGACTAAATAGTAATTAAGAAAAAAGTATTTTAAAAAATAAATTTGTCAGTCTTCTTTCACACAGTCATTAAAGGATTATGCAAACTAGGTATGGAAAGCTGTTGTTTTAATGAAGCAGTTTGTATTAAGCACCCTGTAATTTGATTTTTCTCATTATTACATCCTTTTACTCTTTCTTGTGCGCCCGAATATTTAATATATCTTCATGAGATAAACTGTCCTATTCATTCCTGTAGAACTGCATTTAGGTGATAGAAAAATCAGTATAGGGAGGTAGTCTACCATTTGAAATGTTTGAGGCTATTTTTGCTGTTGTTAATGGATTCAGAATAATATTGGAATTTTGAATACTGTTGATGTTGTGTTGTTGTTCTTATGCTGTTAATATACAATTGGCTATTGTAGCATACTGAGAAATCAATGGCCACAGAGGAATGATTTTCAAGACGCTAACATTTGGACCTATCAGAAACATAGGCAGCTTGTTACCCAGTCACTCTGTAATGAAAAGCATTTAGTGCTTTACTTTTAAACAATAAAGGACAGAAAGAATCGCTTTTTATTGACAGAAAGTCTCAACCATGAATGAGAAGGATCAAAATAAAAGAACCTGAAGTGAAGGAAATAGGCACAATTGCATTGAGCAGGGGAAAAATTTTATTGATACCCTCAGAAATAGGAAAAAATGTTGCATCTCTAAAGTCGGTATGCCAAGAAAAGGAAAATTAGAGAATGAGAACGTTTTAAAATAAGATATTCAATTAAAGTTTTCAATAGTAGAGTTGGAAGGTGAACTCGGGTGTATCTTCCAGAAAACATAACAAAAGGACAGGGATGGGAAATAACAGTGGAAAAACTCAGAGTCAATTCTGTAGTAATGTAGCAGTTCTTAGAGTCGATGTGTGAAGGAGAGGCATCCCAGAGAGAAAAATGACTTAAAAAAGGAACATAAAGTTTCCTAAACCTAAAAAACAAGAGTCTCCAGATTGTACCCTGTACAAAAATTTTAAAATACCTGTGCAAGGCCTATCATCATAACATTTAAAATCTTTGATAATAAATTTAATATCCTGAAAGCTTTCAAAAAGAGAAGTGGGGCGCACATAGAGAGACGAGCCTCAGAGTGAATCTGGGCATCTCATCAACCTTGCCAGCCTAGGAAAAATGGAACAATAGGAAACTCTGATGGCTAATACTTTTCATTCTGGGGTGTTACACACAGCCACTGTCAGTCATGACTTGACAGTTCAGAGATGCTAAGACAATAACAACAAAATTTTGCAAGCGTTCTTTTTGATGGCGCTTCTGAAATAATGCTCCAGCAGAATTACAGAGAATAGAATATTCAAGAATTAGGAAGACACAGGATCCAGGAAAAGCGGGACTGAAAAAAAGGAGACCAAGGAGGAACATTCAAGCAGCGTACACTTGAAGAAAGAAAGAGTGGCATTTCTAGAGGGCAGGAAGGGATGAAACTGGTCGGTGATATAATATATTGAGTGCTGAGAAGATAGTATCAATTTTTGATAGACCTGATAGTGTATCTGGAAAACATTAGCATACATAGAATATTAAGAAAAAAATTTAAAAAGAGGCAATTATTAACTCTGAAAAATTCAACATTGTGTAAAAGAAACTTAATGATAGTATGCCAGTTGGCTCTGCAATGAACATCTTTGTAGTTGTACCAATGGAAATGCTATTAATTTACTAAAATTTGTGCAGTGATTATATAGTGAAGGGAGGGATATGGTAGTTTAAAGAGCTAAATCCTCATTTACCTTAATAGAGAAGTCAGTAAACATTGCCTGAAAATCAGTAAATCTAGAAATAGAAGATGAAGTATCTTAAAATAGAAAAGAACAAAGACATTGAAAAAAATTGGAAATGGGTATTTCTTGAAGATGACAGGGGTCCATTGTTTTTCATAAACTCTTAGTATTTAGGGCTCTTTAAAATTGTTTGCAAACCTCCCTTTCCTAAAACTAAATTACATTTTAAAAGGACTAATGGTATTTAAAATGTCAGGGAAATAGAATAATTATGGATTGTAGTCAAGTTTTTACATTTTTGTCTCATTATTTTTTAGAGTTCCTGGGATAACTATTGCTACAGATATTATCTGTGGTTTTCCTGGAGAAACGGATCAAGATTTTCAAGAAACAGTGAAACTTGTTGAAGAGTACAGATTTCCAAGCCTGTTTATTAACCAGTTTTACCCAAGACCAGGCACTCCTGCTGCAAAGATGAAACAAGTTCCAGCACAAGTGGTAAGATGTTTTTCTTGTAAGGTTTTTTATTTAGCCAGTAGCTATGAGAATGTGTGTGTTGCCTGTCTTGGCACAACTGGCTGATAGTTAGGGTCAGGGTGGGGGGCTCTGTGTAAGTTAAATGACCTTAGGTAACTAAAGAATCTCCTTTTTTTCCCTTTCTTTCTTTTTTTTCTTTTTGGAGAATGAGGTTCAGATGACACTGGGCAAGAAAATTTCAACTAAAAGTAGTGTTTGCCCATGTTTAGAAAGTAAACTCTTAGATGTTTCAAAATCAGTCAAAATTGAAATACGTAAGCAAAGGAGACCTCATATTTGTGCTGCTTTTTAAGAGACCCTTTCATAATTTGTTACTTCTAGGAGGCCCCACGGTTTTCCTGTTTTTTTCCGTGGTATAAATTTGATGCTTTCTGTGTCTGTCTGTCTGTTTGTCTGTCTGTCTATCTATCTCAGATATATACTGTTTTTGCAGTGAATCTCAATATAATTTTATCCTTACATATTCATAAATATATTACAGTAAGATGACTTAAAATAAATGTAAAATGTTCATGACCAAGTAAAGGCAAACTGTTTCCCAGAAAGCCCCAGAAATTGATAGTCTCAAACAAATATTTAGTTCCTACATTCATTGGCTAAAGATGGAAAAATGTAAATCAGCCTTAACAAAGGAGAGATCCAAGATGGTGGATGAGTAAGTGGAAGGTACACTAATCTCCACCCAGGACCAATCTGGATTACAACTGAATTGTAGAGAAATCATTCTGAATGACCAAGTGAACACTAGCTGGAGAGAATCCTTATAACCAAGGACAGACAGAAGAAACCCACTTCGTCATAACTAGGCTGGTAGGGAGTGTGGAAGAAGTGCTCGAGGGCTGGCTGGGCTCCCATCTGTGGCACCTGAAGATCCAGAAGGATATTTCAGTGGCTGGGGTTTCAACTGAGAAGTGTGGGGTCTAAACCCCAAGCTGGGCTCCCTATCCTATAGCACCAGAGCCAGAAAGGAACCCAGATAACACCCAGCTGTGAAGAACAACAGGGTTTCTGTCTGCCAGGGAGAGGTGGCTGTAGACCCAGAGAGATTAAAGGCTCAATGCACAAAATTTTGTTTGCAGGCACTCACCTGGGCTCTGGCAGGGGGAGGGCAGAGTGGACTAGAGAAGTTTGAGGAGAGTCTGGGGTTGGTGGCTCTGGGTAAGGAACTGAAGGAACAGCCACCAGGATCCCTGTGCTGAGGCATCCCTCATACTGCAGAGGCCATCTTTCTCAGACAGAGCACTCCTCTCCAGATGGCATCAGTCTAAGGGGAAGTAATAGCCCCGCCAGCAAGAAATACTCTTCCCCACCCTGTGGTGCTTAAGCCCTGATGCTAATTACAGATTGACTAGATTAACAACTGATCAGTTTAACAGCTGGTTAGTTTTACAACTAAGATAAAAACTACCAAGAAGCAGCCAAAATGGGAAGACAAAAAAACAGACCCCAAATAAAAGAACAAGAGAGTTCTTCAGAAGAACTAGATGGAAAAGGAGGCAAGCAATTTATCAGGTAAAGATTTTAGAGTAATGATTATAAGGATACTCAACAGCATGGAAAAAAAGACATAGAGACAGTAAAAGAGGACCACTCAGAAATAAAGAATGCAATATCTGAAATAAATAATACACTGGGTGGAATAACAGTAGGTTGGATGAAGCAGAAGATAATTCAGTGATTTGGAAGATAAGGTAGAAAAAACCACCCACGCAGAGCAGCAAAAAGAAAAAAGAATTTTAAAAAATGATAAGAGTTTAGGAAACATTTGGACAACATGAAGTGTAACAACATTCACATCAGAGGAATACCAGAAGGAGAAGTAGGGAGCAAGGAATTGAGAACCTGTTTGAAAACTTCCCTAATCTGAGGAAGGATAATTTTTTACTGAAGAGGAAATATTACTTTTTACTAAAAATTTCCTACTTTGTTTCTAATAACTAAAAAATAGGGTGTCCTGCCATTAATTTTCCTCAGATTCTTTCATGACTAAATACTAAAAGGAATAACAACGCTTGTTACTGTTTTTCTTTTTTTTTCCTGTTATTGTTGTTCAATTAATGAGGTGTTATAGATGAGATCATATGGTATTTGTCTTTCACTGCCTGTTTATATCACTTAGCATAATGCTTTCCAGTTCCATCCATGCTGTCATAAAAAGTAGTTCTTTCTTTCTGCTGCATAGTATTCCATTGTGTAAATGTATCATAGGTTTTTGATCCATTCATTTACTGATGGGCACTTAGGCTGTTTCCAGAATTTGGCTATTGTAAATAATGCTGCTGCTATGAATACTGGGGTGTATAGGTTCTTTTGAATCAGTGTTTAAGAATTCGCAGTGTGTAATCCCAGCAGTGGAATTGCTGGGTCAAAGGGCAGTTCCATTTTCAGTTTTTTGAGAAAATTCCATGCTGTTTTCCACAGTGGCTACACCAGTCTGCATTCCCATCAACAGTACACTAGGATTCTGTCTTCTCCACATTCTTGCCAGCACTTGTTGTTTGTTGATTTGTTTATGATGACCATTCTGACCCATGTGAAGTAGTATCTCATTGTGGTTTTAATTTGCATCTCTCTGATGGCTAGTGATGCTGAGCATCCTTTCATGTGTCTCTGGGCCCTCTGTATGTCCTCCTTGGGGAAGTGGCTGTTCAGGGTTTTTGCCCATTTTCTAGTTGGATTGTTTGTCTTCCTGGTGTGGAGTCATGTGAGTTCGTTACATATTTTGGAGAGCAAACCCTTGTCTAAGGTATCATTGGCAATTATATTTTTCCCATGCAGTTTGTTCCCTTTTTATTTTGCTGATGTTTTATTTAGCCATGCAGGAGCTTTTTAACTTGATATAGTCTCGTTTGTTTATTTGAAAAGAATATCTTTAGGCAATGAGAGTGGTTGTTGGAATGTTCATATTGTTTTAAAATGTTAAATTGTCATTTTAAATCCACCTGCTTGCTCATCTTATACCTTGGAACCAGAGTGTAAAAATAATATCTTTAAATATATGTCAGCATAAAAAACTCATAACACACTTACTTGCAATTTCTAGAATATTTGCCCTGTAGATAATGAGACCACAATAGATACTTCCTGCCTCAACCCTGAGGAGTGGCATATGTGTTCCTGAGCAGGCTAGAGGGACATCCTTCCGGGAGACAAATGCAAGCAGTGTCACTGAAACTGTCCGCAGTAGTTTTCTCTGTGAGGAAGTGAATTTTTGTAGACACATTCAAACCCAGGTAACCACTTGGAATAGATGTTGAATCAGGAATGTTCTTAAATCACATGCAGAAGCTATTTAGTGACACATAATGGCCCTCCCAAATCAAGTTGCATATGCATCTAGGACACACTTTATTTTAAAAAGCAAAACAGAGAAATATACCATACAGAAAGAACTTTGTCACTTTCTCTAAATGTTTTTAAAACTTTTTGTTGTTCTCTCAGTATGATCCTAAAGTTTAACAACTCAGTATTTTAGTGAACAAGTTGCCTTAATGGAAGGAATCCTGATACTTTTAACCTACCAGATAGCATATTATTCACACAGCCCCTGGTTTTCAAATTAGACTTTTATTCTTTGGGGAAGAAAAAAAATATTTTTAGGAGTCTTAGGTATGTAGATGGTTAGGTACATTTTATTCTAGATTGATTCCCAAATATCCCTATAGGGAAGGTCCCTTTTCACAAGATCCTCTTTATTTTGACTTCTGTTTTTGGAAGGAATATTTTGGATATCTTATGCAATTACTTGTATTTGACTACTCTAGTTGGTCTTTATAATTCCTCATTTCTGGATGTATCATTTCTGTTCTGGTTTTCATTTTTTTAGAGTTGTTCTCTCCCGCCGTAGTTTTGGTGTGGGTTGATTTCAGCACGTCACCTAACAGTCTTTCAGGTGACTGTAGTAACATTCAGGAAGTAGGAGCAGGAGGATACACCAGAGGTGGTGTTGTGGACTTGCTACCTTGTATGACTTTAGTAGAGGTGGTGTTCATACGACAGATGGAGAATTGAATTCAATAAACTCTGACGTCTTTGAAACTCTTCTTAATCTTTTATTTTTTATCATATGATTTTAAGGCCACCTTTCAAACCACGGTTAGAAAGTTTAGGGGTTTGTTTTTTCTAGATCATTGGCTTAAGTGTTATCTGAATTTTCCAATATTTTCACCTTTTACTTTATTATAAATCTGATAACTTTTGTTTATATAATCAAGTTACTTATTTTGTCTGGAATACGAACTAGGAATACAATAACCTAATTGAATTAGTTGTTTATGGGGCTAGGAATGGCAGCGGCGAGACCCGCCGTGGTGGACAGAACAGTGGGCCCTCAGAGGTGGCTGTGTCCTGGTCTCGGAGCCTGTGCACATGCTCCCTCACGTAGTAGAAAGTGCTGTGTGACTGTGGTTAAGTGAAATCCTTTATAATGGAGTATCCGGGTGGGCTCAGTGTCATCACGAAAGTTCTTAAAAGAGGGACACAAGAGGTTTAAAATTAGAGGGAGGAGAAATGTGAGGACAGAGGTAGAGATTAAGGACAGGGCCATGAGCTAAAGAATGCAGGTGGCCTCTAGACGCCGGGCAAGGGAAGGAAGGGTCCTCCCCTGGAGCCTGAAGAAGACACGCAGCCCTGCCGACACCTCAATTTTAGACCACAAAATTGATTTCAGATGTCCGTCCTTCAAAACTGTAAGATAATAAGTTTGTGTTGCTTTACACCACTAAGTCTGTGATAATTTGTTACTGCAGCAATGGGAAACTAATATACAAACTATGGAGTAGTTTGATCTGAGAACATTGTCTGCCTTTTTGATACAGCTACATTAATTGATCTTTCAGCCCTTTATGCTGTGAGAGAGTTTGCGGTGCCACTAGATGACACATGTTCATTCCTGGGTCTATGAAAACTTATACTTGCCGCTGCCCAACAGGCACAGTCATCTTTAGGCCTAAAATAATGAT